CTGGGGAATTCTGGGAGTTGAAGTCCACCCCTCTTCAAGCGGCCAAGGTTGAGAAACACTGGCGTAAAATGTCAACTAACTCCAGATGACATAGAGACGTGGTTCTCACCTGGAAGGATCCTCCTCCACTGAGAAAGCCCCCTTCATATGGATGGAGTTCCTCTTGTTTTCAAACATTCCATAACTCAAGGTTACCTTGGGAGAGGGAAAAAAATGCAGGGTTGACCTACACATGCAGGAAAGAGATGCTCCTTCCTGTCATTCAAGGACAGGCAATTCTCCCCCAATGGCTGCCGAGGTGAGTTTCTCCCATCACAAAACATCAATTGATCAGAACATTATTTTTGGGGGGGGGGGAGGTCCCCTGGCCAGCTTTGTAGCCTTCCCCCCAGGATTTTTTCAGCTGGAGCTGGGCTGTGCTTTGACTCAGATTCCCAAACTCTGATTTGCAATGCAGAGGTTGAATGAAGGTCTTTCAAGCAGGTCCGTTTCCTTGGACTGACGGACTGATTGATTGATTGATTGATATCTATGGTGACCCAACATCCTTTATGATAAAGGACAGTCCTTTATTTCGGAAAGCTGTCCTTTAGATTAATTTAATTATTTATTTTCTTGGCGTCACTCTTGACTTTTCCTTTGTAAAGCAAAGTTATAAATATAAATATAAATATAAATATAAATATAAATATAAATATAAATTAATTCTGATGAACCTCTTTCAGGTTTGTCCCTTTTTCAGGTTAGTCCTTTCTTCTATTCCAAGAAAATAGGGTCACCGTATTTACGCCACCACCCATCTCACAAATGTGACTCTGGGCGGCTTACATAAAAATAGATAAAAAACTAAATAAAATACATACAATATTAAAAAAACAAGACACCAGCAGCCAGAATCATAAAACAACCATGAACCCAGCCAGGAGGTGGGCTTTGTCACACACCGGGGGCCCCAGGCTCAGGCACAAAAGCAAGTTTTCAAGGCCTCGTGGAAGGCCATCAGCATCGGGGCTAATCTGGCCTCCAACAGCCCTTCTGTCCATCATCCCTACTTCCCTTCATCTTTCCTGGCCCCACTGCAAGCCAACCTCAGCCGTTTCTTTTTGAAGGACCTGTCAGGTAGGGAACCAAATGGGTGGATATCCAGGAGGGCATGTAGTGCCATAAGCCAATGGCCCCAGCCGCGCAACTGAAGCATGAAATGCCCATCAAAAGGGGTGGGGCTTCAATCGTGCAGTTGTGGCAGCCATCTTCACTTTTTGGACTCTCACGGATGCCCCGGACCCAAAGTCAGGGACTGGGGGACTTATGTTCTTTATCATTTTTACCTGATTGTGGATCTCAGATTTGGGCACTTGATGGAGGTTCTCGAGATGGGAGTGGAAGAGATTACTTCGGATAAGTTTCACCCCCAGGACAGATTCTATGATGTACCCAATGGTGCAGTCATCAGGGAGTCGAATCTTCTCTGCAGTGCTCATGAAGTGCCCACCGCTGGAGAGACAGGGGTCAAGAGTTGGGGTGGAGGGAGATAGAACAGGCAAGGGTCTTGTTACTCCATCTGTTACCAATTTCAAAACGCAAAAAGGATTAAAATCCGACATGAAAAGCCCTAAAGTTTATATACATGGGTGGGTCTGTGTGTGCAAACACACACAATTGATTCATGTGTTCTAGATCAGTACCCCCGACTGACACTCAGATGATGGATTTATGGATCGTATTAAACCATGATTTGCTTAAGCATGGTTTAAATAAGTCATAACTGGGTCTCCAATATGCTAAATCCAGAGCATAGGACAATCTGGAAATTAGAGGAGGCACTAGCTAAAATTTTGTGTTTTTGTATGTGTGGACTTCAACTCCCCCAAATTCTCCCCTACCTCGTGGCAGGCGGGGGGGGGTGG